ACAACCAAGATATCACGAATCTACAACGATATTAACATTGACGTCAAAAGAGGACTTAGGCAAGGCGATGCCATCCTGCCTAAATTGTTTACCGCCATCCTCCAGAACGTCATTCGAACATTGGAATGGCATAATTTGGGAGTGAAAAACGATGGTTGGCAGTTGCATCTTCTTCGTTTTACTTATGACATCGCCCTTATAACAACAAACACCAGCCAAGCGGAACGTTTGCTTGCCGAGTTTGATAAAGCCTGTGGGAAGATTGGTCTTCGACTAAATCTCACAAAAACAATGTTTATGAAGAACGGATTGGTTTCGAATGCTTCATTCACGCCAAACGAAACGAATATCTCCGAATGCTCTAGTTATATCTATCTGGGTCGGGAAATCAATATGATGAACGACCTAGCTCCAGAGCTGAGCAGAAGGAAACGAGCGGCTTGGGGAGCTTTCAAGAACATCGAGGATGTAGTGAAGAGAACAAAGTAAAACGGACTCCGTGCTCACCTTTTCGAGTCAACGGTACTTCCTACCCTAACGCATGTATCAGAAACCTGGTCGCTATGTAAACAGGATGAAAGATCTCTCAGCGTTATCGAACACGTAGTCGAAAATGCTATAAGTATGCATTCAGCACAAGGGAAGGGATCCTAAGCTCCGATCTGCAACGACGATAAAAAAATCAAAGATGCCGGTCTGTATGCAAATCAGTCGAAAATAAGGTGGGCAGGACACGTAATGCGTATGGATGACAATCAACAGAGAAGAGCCGTTAGTGACTGGATTCCTTGAGATGTTAAACGTACTGCAGGAAGACCACTGATCCGGTGGTCAGAGTTCTTCACAAAGAGCATTGAACAAAGATATGATGCTCGACGAGTCCCTAGAGAGAGCAGAACCCACTGGGCTACTCTTGCACACGACAAGCAGAAATGGAAGATTTACCGGCGCCCGCTCGAGTCACTCGACGATCAACGGGACTATAGGTGATACAGCTGAACCTCAAAACTGAATTTTCGAAGGATGCCTCACAGAATTCGCCTAAATAGGTATAGGAAAGCTGCCTTCTTGAGATGTTACTCTTGTTCTTCGTTTCTGCCACCATTATCTTTTGAATAGCCGCAGTTCATCTGCCTTCGCTCCATCTTCTATGAATAAAAAAGAAGCTATCTCTAAGGTGCTAGAAGCAATACTGAAACACAAGGAAATAATACCTGATAGAAGAACGGTAGATTCGAAAGGAGAAAAAACGACAACGCGAGATCGTGCGCTATGGAGCGGATAACATTCGCGAAGCTTGAACTCCTGCTGATTCTTAAAGCAAAAATTTTGAAAAAACAGGAAAATGGCTAAATCAAAAACAATAAGCTAAGTCAAAGTTTTCTATACAGCATTAATATCTGAAATAAAACGCACTATAATAAGCATACGAATGCCATATGGGCAAAAGAGATTGCCAGCCTGCGAGCAAGCGACACCTACGGCCCAACAATCTCCGTTGTAATCGAAAGCACGTGCATCTGAGAATAGAGAATATAAGACAGACTAAGCCGATCTACTACAGAGAGTGTTTCAAGAAATCATTCTCCGTTTAAAGCAAACTCTAAGTACATCTAGTCCAAATTGGAATTTAATTAGAAGTAGGCAGCTTAGACGTAGAGATTGCTCAATGTGCAGTGTCTACGTAAAAGTACATATGTCTCCCAACAGTTTACCGCCTTATCGTGGCTGGGAGGTGCTCATGGCGCCGGGTTGTGATGTACAGAGGGACTCATCTCCTGGCAGGGTGTTCCAAGCTCAGAAGGAGTCCGGCGTTTCTATCAGGAAGCCTGGCTAAGAGTACACCAATGCCAGGATCCGTCACCGTTCAGGTACCAAAATAGTCGCATAGTGGCAACTCTCCCTCTGATCCACAAGGGCAGCGACTGCCTGTGGCAGTGTCAACCTGGGGCAGACTATGGCCTAGCTGACCTCAGGACTCCAGGAAACCACAATGGCTAAACGAGCAAAACTCCGAAAAAATGGAGATTATGCTGGGGACCGCACAACCAATGAGGGTGGGCCATCCAAGTGTCCAAGTAAGTAAGTACATATGCATCAACAAATACACTACATTATGTCAAAACAAATGCGAATAATTCCAATGAAAAATGCATTACCGGCGTTAGCAGGACCAATAATTAGTGCTTCTTTTCGTTCAGGAATCATAAACATTCGTCCTCCCCTTACTGGTTGAATGACCATCTGATAGGGAACCTCGCTACCACTGAAAGTTACAAAACGAAATGATATGGAATTTTTCAACCTTGACGAATTAGATTCCTCTAAAGGTCTTGAAAACTGCAAACTGGCCTAGCGTTGCTACCCCGAAGTTTATTCATTAGCTCCGATATCTCATGGTCTTTGCGAGCTAAATCGACCTCAAGACCTGATACACGGATATGTAAAGCAGCATTCGAATTTCGCAACATTTCTACCTCGGTAGTATCAGCAACCTGGAAATTCAACTAATACCTGGTATAAGAGGCCTAAATGTAGACGTTGAGAATCTTCCTTACAAGGAAGACAGAGAGAACAGAAAAAGCAATTTTCCAAATAATTAGAAACCTTGAACTTGGTATCAATACTACTCCAAGTCAAAAACGACCACTGAAGATAGGCAGCTAAGGACGTGTGCAAAACTTTATAACAGTGAGGAGTTTGAACTAGGGAAATATTTAACAAAATGGCCATCAGAGCACTGACCTTAATGCAGCGTTTAGCCACATTAATCATCAAGAGTTTTACTTTTCCTTCCTAGGTTAATGAGTTTCACCCTTGATGATTAACATATTGCCGAGATCGCTCGTTGAAAAACGAAAGCAACAAATCTGTAATATACCTACTGAAACGCAACAAACCTTAACTGCAGAAGTGTAATGTTTACGGACATCCCTCAAATTTGTCTTCGTTTTACACGTAGGACAGACCGCACTTCGACCTAAAACATTCCTAAATAACTAAAAAAGGGTAAAGAGATAAAGCTCTCAGGATTGATCAATCCCTTAGGGATGTGCCATGTATACATCTTTATTAAGCATCGTTTGTAGGTGATTGAATGCATGTCTCGCCTTTACAATGATTCGCAGTAGCCAACCGATATATTGAGCCACTGCTGCTATCCTCCCAGAAAACTCTGGTACCAATTTTCCAGCCTCGGAGGGATGGAAGGCTTGGTGGGCCAGGGGCGCCGGAATCGACTCTATCTGTATTGCAGGGCGTCTCCGACCACTGCGCCACACGCTCCTCCCCCACAAATAATTAAGTAGGAAAAATTCAACATATATCTCTAGACGTTATTTCCAATAGACGAAAAGCACTAAAAGCTACTCTTGAAGAACCTTCTGTGCGAATCCACCGTGTAATACAGGAATATCCGAAGAAGTGCCCACATTTTATTGATGCAAGACGGTGCTCGCCCGCACTGGTGTAGTCCTAAAAACGAATATGGAAATATCCTTAAGTTAAAGCTGTCAAAAATAATATAAATGGATTATGAAACCTCATAACATATAGAGCAACCGTCATCAGTACAACTATCATCGTTTGTGAAATGCATCGCACTCGATGCCACTCCCCCTCCTGACGCACTGTAAATAATATTTTGATTACTTGGTGGCTTAACAAAAACAATGTTATTACAGTAACACATATGATTCAGCCCATTACACCGCCTTCGACTGCTCGCTCTATTAGTCGAAGGAATCGCTGCCGTACTGAAGTTCCTGTCACAATGCACCATACGACCCTATGACTCAAGAAGTTGAGCTATAAACAGCGGAGAACTCCTTCAATACTGTTCTGGAAGACTAGGGAGAACCACGTTGGAGTAGCACTTAGCACATCTATGAAGATAACAGATCTTTAATCCACACGCGAACTCTGATCTGATCGCCAAATGCTGAGTCACTTTTACTGGATCATCTATGCATACAGTTACATTCGAAACTATGAAGTACAGTAGCAATTGTAATAAGAACTACATTAATAGAATTACTAAATAAAAATCACACTAAGAATAGAAAAATACCTAGTCTTGGGATTCCCATCATCCTGACTCGCGGGAGTTCCAGTTCTTCTTCGCTTGGGACGATTCACAGCATCCAACTGCAATAGTTATATATTCTACAATTATAAAACAAACTAAAACTTGTTAAAAGGCAACTCCATGTATGCACTACCTCGTCGTCGGAGTTGGACGGTGTTGTTCGGATATTTCTATCAGCTGGCTTAAAAATTAGGAATGATATGGAAATTCACAAAGTAATGAAAAACATTCCATATAGAACAGAAAGCTAAAGCGCTAGCAGACCATCATAGGAGATAGAAAGAGAAACACAACCTGGGAAAGGAATAACAAAATTTCATAGGAGTACGAGTATTAAACTCGAAGATTACTGTTATTTGATATCTCTATCCAAATATTCTCAAGGTGAATTCCTTTGTCTTTTGAACTTAAAAGAGCTTCAAAATGACTAGAATGTAACCTAACCATCAAGAATGATCAACAAAATAGTCTTTTACGATGAACAGTTGCCTCCCAATGGTTTAATGCCTCACCGTAGCTGGGAGGTGATCTTGGGTGTCGAGCTGCAATGTACAGTAGGAGATTGATCCCCAACCAGAGTCTCCCAAGCAGAGGAGAGTCCTCCGTTTCAATCAGGAAACTCGGCTAAGAGCAAACCAATAGCAGGATCCCCACTGTCCTGGTATCAAAGTAGTCGCATAGTGACAAATCTTCCTTGGATCCACAGGGGCTGCAACTATCTGCGGTCGCGACGACCTGGGGAAGACTTTGGCCAGGATGACCACGAGACTCCAGGGAAATACAATGGATAAACCAGAAGAACTTCGAAACAATGGAAATTATGCTGCAGCCCGCACAACCAGTGAAGAAGGGCCATTCAAATATCGAGTATAAAATAAGATGAACAGCTCAGCGAATGGTATTGTTAACTGTTTCTCTTTCGTAGCGTGACATACTACCACAAATACCACTATTCGGACTAAAAAGTAGCACTCACAAACGGTCCGTCGTCTTCAATCAATTGGACCTCCTAAAAATATAAACAAGTAAGCTCAAAATATGAAAAAGTTGTAAAATAGGGACTGCACACACATCATCTACAGCACCCATGACCGTACGCGCGGATTCGTCCCGAGTCACCTCTTCGGATTGGCTTCTCTCGCTTCTGGACTGGAACATTAACGAGTGCTAACAAGTAGTGAAGATAGTGAAAGAACATGGATGAACAAGTCATGCAGATTCACTAACTTACATCGTCGAAATTTCCGTTGCTCGATGAAAGTTCACTTCCAGATCGAGTCCTCACCCTATACAGAAGCAATTGGCTTTTTTTAAGAGCATGGAATTACATTAAACTTAAGTTGAGAAAATTCCAGTAATGCTATTACAGCAATCACCTTGAAGACGGTGCTCGATTTCGATCCATAGCGCGAGTGTGATATGCCCTTGGTGATGGAGGCACTAAATCTAACCATGTAATAAAAAAAATTTATAACTCTCGTCTTCTGAACGTACGTTCGTCTTCAGTGTCACTGGATGTTGACGTGTCCGATGATGATGATGACGATGTCTCCTCACTGTAATCCTCGTCAGAGTCTTCTGATGAAGACGCCGTAAACCTCTCCCTGCTCTCCCTACCTCTACAAAAGAGTAGATCGATGACTAAGAATGTGGACGGGATTTCGAACGTTCAACGCACAATTGTCCACTCTTTTTTCAACAGCTAGGCGGTATACACTCAAAAAGTACTAAAAAAAGAATACCTAACTATATGCACAAGAAATCCACTTATCGATTGAGTTGCTGCGACTGCACGATTTGCTCGAAGAGTCGGCATCTCAACCTACAGCATCCATTCGACGATGTACAACTAAACAGACATGTAGCCATTCCAGAAATTGAAACCCTATTACGGAAGAAGTCCTAACAACATCAAAGTCGCAAGCACGTCTTCCGAAGCAACTCTATCTAACTACAGCATGAATAAACAGCACTTCTCTATATTCACATGCCTACATTAGGTTGTTACGAAACATTCAGATTTTCTTGAACTACATTCAACACAAATTCCACCAAATAAAGTTTTACAAAAGTCTCTAGCAAGTTTATGGCTACAGAATAGTACTGCAAGGATGACAGAACAAATACCACAAGCACAAACCAAAGCGAACAAACCCTCCCACACCGCCACAGCCCGTTTAGAAATCACCACTTTCAAATTGCCGCCACTTTCTCGACGTGGCACGAAGTGCGATTGGAGCAGCCATTGTGCGGATAGGTACCTAACTTGCAGAACCGCCACTGCCCTCCGAAAGAGATTTGAGCTGTGTGTTGAAACACGTTAATCACGTGCGGGCTAAAATTCACAACACGTTCATTTTCTGTCTTATAAGGTAAGGAGGACAAAGGTTTTCATCGAAAAACACCGTTATTTGGATGATCCTTCCAGGAATTTGAATGAAAGAGGACAGATTCGTTCCGGCTTCTTGGCTCGCCTTGATTTCTCGTGCAGCAGCGCAAAACATGAATACAAGAAGCATCACATATTTTGGCACTTACGCGTCTACATTCAATTTTATGTGGTCTAGGATCGAGGCTACGCTTAATCTTCTGTCGCATTGAGGCCAATGCATATGATGTCACTTCCCATATCCTCCCACGGATTAGTGCACTACAGATCTTATCAATAGGAATTGCAGAAGAGTGGGAAGATTGTAAGCCATGACCTTTGAAGAAGTGCAATGGTTGCAGGATAAATGAAGAATAAAGCCCTCGGCATCGATCAATCACTGAAGGATGCACCATGCATTCGACTCCATTAAGCATCGTTTGGAAGTGATTGAATGCATATCTGGCCTTTGTAATGATTCGCGGTGGCCTATCGATGTATTAAGCCGGTATTGCTATCCTCCTAGACAAGTCTGGTACCAATTTACCGATCGTGAAGGGACGGAAGGCTTAGTAAGCCATGGGTGTGGGGATCAACTCCACGTGCGTGTCGCCGGGACGTCTCCAACCACTGCGCCACACGCGCCCTATTGTTCTATCACAGTCCAAAAATCTTCGCTGCTTTGAAATAAGTGCAGTAAGACTAAATATAAAGCATAAATAAAAGGATAAAGCTCTCGACGCTGACAAATCCCTGAGGGATGCACCATACATTCGACTTAACTAAGCATTGTTAGAGGCGATTGAATGCATATCTGGCCTTTACAATGACTCGCGGTGGCCTACCGATGTATCGATCCAGTGCTGCTATCCTCCCAGACAAGTCTGCTACCAATTTACCGACCTCAGAGGGATAGAAGGCTTAGTAAACTTTGGGCCACGGGGATCGATTCATGTGTATTGCAGGGGACTCCGACCATTGCGCTACACGCACCTATAGTGATTGCAGACATTTGTAAATTCGATGCAGTGAATGTACAGCGAAGTAGGGAAGTTGTTTGAGGTTCTAATGATTACATCGTTCTTTTATTTTGGACATTTGAACGTCTTTCACGACTGATACCAACTACGGCACATTATGTTTTTCACAACTTCGTATTTTCCTTGCGTGATCATCGTCCCTCGTGGTTAGTTACTTCAAGCATGGTGAGATGAGCAAATACCATTCGATGATCGTATGCAGCTATGAATAGCGTTCCCTTATTTCAACCCAAAGCGCGTCTATCAGTCTCGTATCTGCTCGTCCTAGATGATACTTTCTTCGTTTCATAGTCCATTCTACTGCTTTTCTCGTTTATCTACCACCAATGTTTCTTATTAGGTAGCAGACCCAACCTACATTTCGCCGTCGACGTATATTCTCCTTGATTTCGGAAGTGGAAAATTTCTGATGGTCTGGACTTCAGATTCCTGCTAAATGTTATATGCATCGGTTATATTTTGGAAGGGATTCTTTACATGGTTGAGGTGTCATTCCCCTTATCTGTTTCATAATAGAACGCTGGGGGATTCTTGAGTGCAGGAGGTGAGTTTTAGGTTTACTAATTGATCGATGAATGATTGATGATTTGAGACGACGAACGCATGTCATGTTGTTCTCCTTCTTCTTTGGATTTCCTCCTTGTCTTTTTACATATTCGTGCACAGAGGACTTTATCCGTATAATCACAGAACCAATCAATTTCGTTCGGTGATCTTCACACCAGAAACGACGGTTTCGTAGGGACTTTTAATCAACACGTATGCTCTTCTCGTCGCAATCGAGTGGGTATGGTAGTGGATCGGTGGAGAAATGAATTTTCGTAGTGCAGTTCAGAAAACAATCAGCTAAAATTCTCATGTAGCATGGGTTCTCACCTTGGATTGTCGACTAGCGTCGACAGGACCGTATTTGTTTTGGGTTTTCATAGTGTATTAGGTTACGTAAGGGGTAGGTGCTACTCCCGATAGACTTCTATGATTAGGGCTATAGTTTCATTTGATGTTGTTCGCGTGATTCGAATCCCTGCCAGAACCGTCTTTGCCTAAGTAGTTGTGTCTGATCCAAAGCCTTTGATATGCGCAATAGGATAATCTTCGGCAGCAACTTGTAGACTGCACTCAACAATCAAGAGTGGCGGTAGCTGCGAAGATCTCTTCGGTTACTTTTTCGGTTGGCATGATCTTGTGTGAGGTCTATGTTTTTTTTTGTTTTGAAGGTAAATCGTTGCATGGGTTGCTAGAAGAGAAGGTAGTTGCAGCTTTCAACTCGAGTTGGATCGGTTGTTCTATTATTTCCTCCTAGAGTTTTGTCTCTATTCGTGCTTTTTATCTCAATTTCAAAAGGAATGATTCTTGGTGGTTTCCATTCAGTAGAGATTTTTCGAGTCGAGATGCGAATGGTGGATCGGAAAAGATTGATGCACAAATATTCCTTAATTCCATATTATGATGGGAGGTAGTAGTGGTGCAATCCTCATTCATCACGGCTGAATAGTGGTATATTGTCTTTTCATTTGCTTCCACGGTTTTCTACCTGTATCAATGTTAGTCCTTCTGCAGAACTGTTCTTTACTTGGCATTCAATATAAGTGACGTTAGCAGTGTTGCAATAGAAAGCTGGTTCCTTCGCGAACGCTTCATTGTGATGGAAGCGCGATCCAACTTTCTTCACCAAATTCTATTTCAAGTCTTTCATTACAAGTTTCAGGATTCTTTATTCACCGTTACTGGCCTTTCCTAATCCGGAATTTAAGTCTTTAGCGAAAAAATATATAGAAGGGCTTCTCGATGCGGAGTGCTCCCTCCAAATGATTATATTGTCACTAAATTCGTGATCATCGGTTGCACTAGTCAATGGAAAGCAGTTATAATACTGGCCTTCTTATGACACATGGATCAATGACGGAGGGTGGCCAAGCCAGGAGACAGCATTTCGTATGGATCGACAGAATAGTTAGAGGAAAGGTGGACCACAAATCATGATGCAAGCCTTTCTGCACGAAGGGCAACGATCCCTTTATGTAGTTGGCTTTCGTCGCTCTTCCCGACTGCTGTTTTTTGTGTGGCGATCTCAAGAAATTTGATGCGATCTGCGGCCTCGGGAACATTGTGTAGATCGGGATCAGAGGGAAATGTTCTGGCACTTTATAGAGTTGAAATGCAAGAAATGTAGAACAAGAAACCATCCGGACGGCGGATTCTGAGCGTGTTTGTATGATGCAGATCCGACGATGTCTTGTACAGCTCGAAGTGTAATCCACTCTCAGCGTTTATCTCGTAGTCTGACGTCACGAAATGGAATAACATAGTTAGTATTTAGCATATAAAGACTGGTTCGGCAATCTATTATATCTTGGGGTGATGAGGTAATCTTGCTAAAGGTTTTTCAGGCTTTCTTCACCGCTATGGCTCCTATTGTAGATTGGAGAAAAGCTTTGTTTTGAAAATGAGTCGTTTAGTTGGTTCGGCCTTGTTGGCCGATGGCTAGTCCCACACGCAACATCACGGCTCTGAGGAAGGCGAAGTCGTCGAAACGTCAGCCATCGATCAATAACATCAAAAACAACAACAACGACAACGAAGATCTGTACCAACTTCGGGTCAGCTTAAGAAGATCAGTTTATAAGATCACATAAATAAATATATCAACTATCTATGCCGAGGTTTATAGAAAGTTGGTCTTTCGAGTTCCATATTCTATTCTTCCTTTCCATAAATTCCAGAAATCAGGAAATGAACGGTAGGGGAGGAATTCCTCATTATCACGCGTGATATTGGGCAGCATATAAGCCTGTTATTCTGATGGGAGGGGCATATTGTGCTTTCATGTGAATTCTGTGCGGTTTGTCTCCACGCGACATACTCAGTGGAAGACACATAAAAAGCAGTGAGTATGCGATGAAGCCATTCCGTGTTCAATGTGATTGAAATCTTGCTTTAGCGTTTTCTCTTTCTGGTTATGGAGATGTTTGGCCGGGTAGATTGCTGTCAACTTAACCTTTCCAGGCTCTTAGGAAGGCGAAATTCGCCGAAACATCAGCTTGTTCTTGAATAAAGAATGTAGTAACACCTCGTATTTCCTCAACAAGAATATAAGGAATAATGTAAAGTCCTGTGCTCTTGTATCATAATATTTATGTTGTCATCAATTGTTATATATCCTATGTGTAGCTAGTACTGCAATTGCCTCAAATGCCCACACTGCTTGTGAGTGCTCTCTCTATCACTATCACATTCTTGCATTGTGGTAAGGCAAATTCTTACGCTGTTGTAGGTATACTAATATTGTTACACTAACAATAACTGATCATCTCTCATGTCCTTAAAGTCCTGTTCTATATTGCTATACATAATTGTCAGCATTCTATTTAGTCAAATTACTACATACTTACTTTACTTGCAATTTATTGTACATACATTTCTAGTCTAATTACGTTATCGTACAAATACTAAATATGTAAACGGTTTAAGTACCCAAGTTTTAGATGTCCAACATTGACTGCCAATCGCCAAAAGCTCCGCGTGGCACGGGCAAGGACGAGCAGCTAATTCGCTCGAATATTCTTAACTAGTTGGTATTCATATATCGGCGGGCCTTCCCAACAGTGTGATTAGAAGCACTGTGTGAAGAGTGCTGATTATATGAATGTTAGATTGCAGTAGGAGCACTTTCTTGGATTATTAAGCCAACATGAGGGTTTTGCAAAAGTTTTGTTCGGCTGACGTTTCGACACCTTCACCTTCATTAGAGTTACAATGATTCCAGTCGATCGTTCACAGGGACCGAAAGGGACCACGTAGTGACATTCTTCATCTGAGCGTTGCTCCACTTCGTTGGATTCTGCTTGATTCGATTAGGAAGACATACATCACAAAAGCAATCGGTTATGAACAATCGAGTTGAACCATCACCCCTCTAAAGAGGGCAAAGGATCCGGAACGTTAAACGTATGGAAATTCTATAATGAATTCGTGTTAGCTTAGTAATGCAAAAAATATCGATTTTTTTTAGATTAAATGATGGTCTGTTTTGAAAAGTATTCCATTAGAAGTTTTATTCAAGCACAATGGTTAGAACACCACTGAATACTTGTAAAACTAACAGCTAAGAATAGAATAGAATAGAAAAGAAAAAATAGAATAGAATAAGAATTGCCAAGAATGTTCTCCACACATTGGTGGATGCACACTATACTCATAATCACGTCTATACAAATTTCCTCTGGCGTTTACCATCTTGTCGTAGCCACAAAGTGCCCAACAGTTCTGAGCTTCAGTTGCCAAGAAAGGCGGAAATTGTCGTAGCCGCCGCGGGATTGAAATCGGATCAAAGAGAAGCTTTTGTAATTTATGAAGTGCAAGGAATACCTTTCCAATGACCGCAGCTGTCACATCCGTTTGATATGTAACTGCCTCACTACGTAAACATTAATATCACACCATGGTAATTGGTCTGTTAAAAAATGATTCGAATACATGCACTTCGTTGCTATACAGCTCAGTTCAGTCGCCTAGGTCTGCCACTCAATTGTCAGGACAGGAGCTATATAATGAATTGTTGGTGTTAATCAGCAAGTTCACATGCGTTATTCAGCGACTAGTAATGTGATCTAATACACGCATGGTCTCCAGTTCAACCTCCACCTGGGCCAACCAAGAACTCCATTCGTCTGTGGTGGGTAAAATAGTGACGGGCTTCGCTGAGAAAAGCTTTTCTTTTCCTTACAAGATAGCGACTGTCTTGCTTAGGATCTGGAAATGCTTTAGTAAAGCCTCACCTGAATTGAATGAGGACTAACTCAACTGAAATTTAATAATAATCGCAGAAAATTCGTACCGCTCAAGTAACAATCCAGTTACCTGTTTCATCTTGTAGATCGTTGAGTGACTAGAGAGGGCACCAGAAGAAACTCTATCTGTCGCTGTTGTTTTGCTCCTTCCAAGGACTTCCATGAGCAATCGAGATTAGACGACCTTCATGGGTGGCATATTCAGGACAAAAAACTGAATAAAAAAGCTTTCTGATTCACGCAAAATTTTAGACTGGTCGATAAATTAATATATCGAATGGATTAAAACCTTTTATACATGAAAAACTGTGATCTAGTTCCAAATTTTGATATGCTGCAATACACTGTTAAGATATAGAATACTCCTATTCATTAAGCAGATTTTAATGATGCTGAGTTCACCTTTATCACCTACAATCCCGTTGATCGTCGAGTGACTCGAGCGCGCTCCAGTAAATCTTCCATTTCTCCCTGTCGCATGGAAGAGTAGCCTAGTGGGTTGTGCTCACTCTAGCTACTCGTCGAGCAACATATCTTCCTTTAAGGCTCTTTGTGAAGAACTCTGACCATTGGATCGGTGGTCTTCTTGCAGTACGTTTACCATCTCAAGGAATCCAGTCACTAACGGCTCTTGTCCATCGGTTGTCATTCATACGCATTACGTGTTCCTGCCCACCTTATCTTCGGCAGTTTGGCATACAGAACAGCATTTTTGATTTTTGATCGTTGACGCAGGTCGGTGCTTCGGATCCCTTTGCTTATTTGTGTTAAATGCATACTCATAGCATCGCCCATTCGACTGCGTGTTCGATAACGCTGAGAGATCTTTCATCCTGTTTACGCAGCAACCAGGTTTCTGACACATACGTTAGCGCAGGAAATACCGTTGACTCGAAAAGGTGAGCACGGAGTCCGTTTTACTTTGTTCTCTTCACTACATCCTCGATGTTCTTGAACGCTCCCCAAGCCGCTCGTTTCCTTCTGCTCAGCTCTGGAGCTAGGTCGTTCATCATATTGATTTCCCGACCCAGATAGATATAACTAGAGCATTCGGAGGTATTCGTTTCGTTTGGCGTGAATGAAGCATTCGAAACCAATCCGTTTTTCATAAACATTGTTTTTGTGAGATTTAGTCGAAGACCAATCTTCCCACAGGCTTTATCAAACTCGGCAAGCAAACGTTCCGCTTGGCTAGTGTTTGTTGTTATAAGGGCAATGTCATAAGTAAAACGAAAATGATGCAACTGCCAACCATCGTTTTTCACTCCCAAATTATGCCATTCCAATGTTCGAATGACGTTCTGGAGGATGACGGTAAACAATTTTGGCAGGATGGCATCGCCTTGCCTAAGTCCTCTTTTGACGTCAATGTTAATATCGTTGTAGATTCGTGATATCTTGGTTGTGAAATTTTTGTACAGCTCACGAAGAATCTTTATGTACTGAGAAGGGACTCATTGACTATCAAAGGCTTCCAAAACTGCTTCTATCTCAACTGAATCAAGGCACTTCTGTAAATCTATGAAAGAGAGACAGAGCGGTCTTTTGTACTCCCGCGATACTTCAATGGGCCTTGTTATCGTGTGGATGTGGTCAATCGTCCTAAATCCTCCTCGAAATCCAGCTTCTTCACATGGCTCTCCTTGGTCCTGTGTTTTGTCAATCCTGTTTAGGGCGACTGGAGTGAAAAGTTTGTAGACGACAGAGAGCAAGCAGATTGGACGATGGTTGTGATATCGTGTAGGTCACCCTTCTTGAACAATAACACGGTCATGCTGGTCTTCCACTGAGTAGGGGCCTTGCATTCAGACAGGTAACGTGTGAAGAGCTGAACCAGTGTGTTTACTAGGACTAGCGGAAGGTTCTTCAGGTGTTCTGTTTTTATCCTGTCCGGACCTGGTGCTGTTCGATTTCTCACCGACGACATGGCATGTCGGATTTCGGAAAGGAGAACCAGTGTTACAACATATCCATTATCTTTTATTTCATATAACGAAAGGCGGACGTGGCCATCGGCGAGATCTGAGTAGTATTCGTGAATGATTTTTTCCATTGCCTTTCTGGACGCTGTAACTGTTCCGTCTGGGTGCCGGAGTGCAATCGTTTCGATCTTGTAATTGGCGAACTGCTGTTCTTTTCCCTTTAAGATCTTCTTTTATCGCCTGTCTGCACTGTTTTTGAAGTTCGGACGCTACTTCCCGGTTGCCTGCAGCTCGTACAATTCCACGCTGGCGTATCAGCTCGAGTGTTTCTGGAGAGNAGGTGTTCTGTTTTTATCCTGTCCGGACCTGGTGCTGTTCGATTTCTCACCGACGACATGGCATGTCGGATTTCGGAAAGGAGAACCAGTGTTACAACATATCCATTATCTTTTATTTCATATAACGAAAGGCGGACGTGGCCATCGGCGGGATCTGAGTAGTATTCGTGAATGATTTTTTCCATTGCCTTTCTGGACGCTGTAACTGTTCCGTCTGGGTGCCGGAGTGCAATCGTTTTGATCTTGTAATTGGCGAACTGCTGTTCTTCTCTCTTTAAGATCTTCTTTTATCGCCTGTTTGCACTGTTTTTGAAGTTCGGACGCTACTTCCCGGTTGCCTGCAGCTCGTACAATTCCACGCTGGCGTATCAGCTCGAGTGTTTCTGGAGAGAAACGTCTCTGGGTGACCTTCGAACTCTCAGCTTTCATAGCGCTAAAGTGAAGATGTTGAATGAGCCGATCGTAATCTTCGTCGATGTTATCGACAACGGCATCTTCCCAACAGCCGACTAATGAATTGAATACGTCCCAGTTTGCGGTGGTTCTGGAACTTCGGGTTTGGAATTTAGCGGCTTTTTCTTCTTTTCGCGAGAAATAGAATCTTGCACGAAGGAGACAATGGTCTGATCCCGTGTGAAATTTTGGAAAAACAGCGACATCGGTTAGGCAAAACCTTCTATTTACTATGATGTGGTCTATTTCGTTATGGTACTCTCCATTGGGAGACTCCCACTTCCAACCTTGAAGGTGGGGCTTCTGGAATTGCGAGTTACCATGGATTGTATTGGCCGCCATGATAAACTCAGAAAGCCGCTCACCCTGTTCGTTCCATTCTAATCCATGGGTGCCAATGTGAGGTTCTTCAGACGCTCTTCTTGGTCCAATCTTGACGTTGACATCTTCAATGATGACCTTAAAGAATATGTGGTCTTCTCTGTTGAACTTCTCTAAGTCCATATAGAACGGTTCGACTTCTTCTTCGTCATAGTTTGATGTCGGCGCGCAAACGACGAAGATTGTCAAAGCCGGCATTGATCCACACCTTTTTAATCGTAAACGTCCGTTTCGGGTTTTAAGCTGTTCGAATGAATCGATGTTCATATACAAACTCGTGTTGACGAGAACACCGACGCCACCGACTTATCTACTGTCGCACGTTCCGAGGAACAGTTTTTCTCTGGTATCATAGACGGCATTGAAAGGCTATCATCTTCTCGTCTTGGCCAGGCCGATGACGTCGTTCCTTATCCTTCTTGCTTGCATGAGCATTTTTTCTATCGAGGACTCCGATGCAAGTGTATGTGCATTGTAAGTAGAGATCGTCACCATAGTTCTTTGAAATCCAGGCAGCTTCCATTGGCCGTGAGATTTTAGCATAATCTCCGTACTTGTCCAACGCTGCGAAATTGGGGCTCCTTCGGGGTCAAGGAAATGAGACCCACTTTTTTCACTGTGTTTACTATTTTTGATACCCACTTATAGCTTGATAGGCTCTGAACGTGGGGCCTGGGTATACTCATGGGTA